AGTCTTTTTTTTTTAGATTTACTAAATTAGCAGAGGAAGAGGGAGACAACAAGACATATGTGAGGCACTGTAGGCACCAGGCTTAAGTATCCAAGTTGACTGAGCTAGTGTGGAAGTTTTCAAGTTCAAGTCCAATCAATAGGAGCTGTTAAAAATGAGCTGAACTTCACTGCTCTGGATGTACCTCTGGACTGATTCACACGTACATGCATAGGCATTTATATATATCTGATCATGTGTGTATGTATCTCCTTCTTGGGAGTGGAAGGCAGACAGAAAGGGAAGGGGAAGAGGGACACATTCTTTGAAAGTTTCCTAAAAGACCTCCTGAACTATGCCACTGCTGGGGACCGATGGGTTTGAGGCAGAGCAGTGGAGAGCAGGAGTGTGTTGTTTAAGCTCCTCATTGAATAGTTTATGGTGGAAATCATTCACCTCTCCCCTGCCTCAGTGTATGTAGCTTCCATAGCCACAATTCTGGTGTTACAATTTTCTTGCTTTCTCCATGTCTGTACAGCTACAATACCTGCTCTGGGGAAAGGCTACTTATTATTTATCTTTCCTGATGGCAGACAGGCAGAAGTCCCAGGGAATGCAAAGTGTGCAGCTCTGTGCGTGCCCACGTAAAGCAAGGGCTTTCCTCACTCTGCTGCCTCCCTTGCTATGCGTGTGCTATAGTAGGCTTTTATACACATTGTGGGATTACTTTGAAGACTGTCCGACATGTTTATGTGCATGCATGTGCATTATGTGTGTCTTAAAGAGAACATTTGTTCTGGGCAGCTTTTCCTACTATTTCTTTGCTGGTGCTCTTAATGACAAGCTGTTTTCCTTCTCTCACAATTCTGCTATATTTCATGACATTTAAAAATAAGGCCATCAAGATTAAGGGCCTTTTAATGTCTACTGTCCCTTCTGAATAGATTAGTTTTTTCCCCTGAATTTACAGATCACCTTCTGAAGATCTAGATTTACTTCAAGATTGGTCACTACTACATCCTTTTTGCTAACTAGAAAAATTCTAAATAGATTTTGAAATTAGACTTTAAAATATTAGATATGCATCTGTGGGTTTCCTTCCTTAAATAATAATATGCCAGAGAACCTGAACTGAAATGCCTGATCCCCTTTTGTATTAGGGAAGCTGCTATGCTGGCCTGTTTTTCCTTAACATTAAATTGGTAGAGGGAGGTTGCTTTGTTGTCAGGGGCTATGTAGGGTGCAATCTCCTGTAGTAAATCCCACTTCACTGCACTTACATGTTATTAGTGTAGGTGTTGGCTGGGTAAAACAGATGTGGTTGGGATTTTCTATACCAGAGGAATGCCTCTACTTTCTGGGGGTTTTTGACATGTGATGTATACTGTGGCACTCTTCGGGTGACTGATTTGAACCTGGATTGGGAAGCCTTGAAGTGGCTTCAAGCTAACTGTACCTTACCTCTAGATGTCATTCTGAGCCAAGGCCTAGGTGAGGTGTCTTTGCTAGACTTTGTGCCAAGTAACCCAGGTCTAGGGATGTGACACGGATCCACAGTGTGATGCAGTTCCAGTAGTTCAGAAAGTTTCAGTGGGTCACTCACTGTGATGGAGTCACATCTGTGAATTTTTGCAGGATCAAACCCTGGATTTGTGGTAAGGGGTTAGAAATGTGGACAGCAGTTGTGAATTTTAAAATAGATTTATTTACATCTTCTTATGTTTCATTGTTGGTCTCTGAAAGATTTCCAGTGGCTTTTAGGATCTCTCCTAGGATCAGACATGATGAGATACTGCTGGGTTTCAAAGTTTAGCTTTACCCAAAACCATGTCAGTGTTTTCTACCTGCCTCTCTTATTTAATTAGAATTCAGTGCAAGTTCACAGATTTGACAGCTTTATAATCTGCGAATAGTTGTCTGTGAGATTCTAGTACTGGAGCGTGTGTAGAGGGATGGGGCTGTGCACCACGTGTACGTGCTCTGATGGGGAAGTCGTTGCCATACCAACTGGTGGCACGGCGGAGATGGAGTCCCTCTGCTCCTATATCCGTGTCTGTAATATTGCTCTCTCTATTTCCTTACAGTCTTTACAGACAAACAGGGAATACAGGGAACAGCTAAAGATAAATAATGAATAAACCAGGGGGATTGTATGCTGAGTACCTTCAGATGGGAACCCTGGTCTGAGAGACAGTGCTGAGTCAAGGGATGAAGAAATTATAATCTATGTTTTTACAGAGACCAAACACTTTATAATTACCACCTCAGCCTGTAGCCCATAGTTGGACTGATGTCAGTGACTTGCAGAGCAGGCCCATGGCCTTTTTTTTGTCCACCTGCAGACACATTGGTACTTCAAAGGCAGTTTTTGTCACTGCAGTGCCCCTGAGGGCCATGCCCTGACATTGGATATGTTTGTCCCCTGCCTTTCTTTTATCAAACTGCTCCAGGTCACAGCCGAAGATGGCCTCAAGATGCAGTAAATCAAAGTTGGCTCTGAAGCGTCCTGGATTGCTAGACAGGGTGAGTGTCTTCCCAGTTTGAACTTGAGACGTGGACATACCACAAAAAGGAGAAGTGTTTGATTGAAGTAAGATACAAGTTGTCTGGAAAAGCTAAAATAGAATTTAGGCTTTCTGACATAAGTCCAGCCCTAAGGTGGGCTGCATGGTGAGTCTGGAGGGTGGTGTTGCTTGCTTTCTTTTGGAAGAAAATGGTCCATCCTACCTCAGGACATCCATGCTGTGGGGATCAGGTGTCACCTGGCATAATTCTGCAGGCAACAGTTCATTGGCTTAAATCCCTGTTATCCTTCTTTCATAAATGGTAGAGGTCTCACAGCAATGATGAACAAGAATACTTTAACTGGAAATATTGACAGAGACAATTTATAGTCTATTGTGTGGATGCATCTGCTGAGCATTCATATCCTGACACCATCTTGGCATTCCTGACTCTATTTTTGTCAAAGACTATTTAACCAGGAATACCTTCATATCGCAGCATGATTTAGACCTTGGCTGTTTGCATCTTTTCTCTGTTCCCTTCCTCCTTCCCATACTTCTTCTCACACACACACATCTCTGAAAAAAAAAAAAATAAAGTGTGTGTGTTTGGGGAAATGAAGCTGAAATCATTGTTACACACCATAAATACAACTCGGTAACAGAAGAAATGGTTGTTTGGCAAATATTTTACATAAATCAATTCTGAAACCAAGAAAACTCCTGTAATTACTACTGCAATTAAAAATATATTTATGCAGTTAATTGGTAGACTAAGTGCCACCCTTTCAAACTTCACTTTTAGGGTTTCCTTATGATGGGGCTCACTACAGGAAGGATGCTTAGTGTGTTCTGCCATGGCATTGCATGCCCTGTGAGCAGAGAGCTGTGGAGAAAGTACAGTTACATTTTACTTTATTAAATCATTAGTTTTACCTTTTTTCCATGTAAGACGTGTTCAATCGTAAAGCTTAGCCTAGTCACACTGACTGAAAGCCAGGCAGTATCAGCACACAGCTCCCATCTGAGCCGACTCACTTATCTCCCCCAGGAACAGTGGTGGGTTGAAGCATATGAGCAGGGTTGTAGTGACAAGCCTGTGCCTGGGTTGCTGGTAGCCCTCAGGTGTCAGGTTGGCACAACATCACTCTTCTCCCTTGCTGTATCACATGCAGACTCATTTTTCAGCTGTTTTTCTAGCTGTTGATACTATTTCCTGACAATAAGTGTCCACATTATGTTTGTCCCTATCCCAGCCCAGACTAAAAAGGACAGAGCAACATATCATAAGTAGTTGAACAGTGAGTGGAAAATGGTAGTGGATTATTTTCCCCAAGGGAACTGGGCACATCGAGGGTTAGGAAAGAAAAGCTGAGTCTTATTTCCATCCATGTTGCTTTCCTGGGGTACAGCACAGTCTCTTGCTGTGAAGGATGCTGTGCAATTGCCCCAAGCGCTCACCCTGCAGGGTGTCCTGCTCCCAGGAGACAGCTCGCTGCATCACTGCTGCAGAGGCTTGCTGGGCTTTCGGAGTGCTGGGCAATCAGCCCTAGGATCTTGTGAGTGATGTCCAGAGTACAAAGCAGTTTAGGCAGAAAGAACTGATATAAATTTAAATGTAAGTAAGTGACTTGTAACACCTTGGAAAACAGCTCCCACCCGTGTTTGTTTTATTTTTCTAAAGTTTCCCCTGTTTTTCGTCGTGCCTGCAGGGAGGGTCAGCCTGCTGGCTGGCTCAGCACGCAGGAAGAAGTTTGGTGTGGCTGTGATTGACAGGGCCATGATGTCCTGTCAGGGAGGCTGTGTTTTAGAAACAAAATTGCTTTGGGAAATTGCAATGAGATAGCTTCCAGTGAGCTAAATTGAATGTGCCTTTCAAACTTCGGGATGCTCGTCCTTCTGTATCCCCTTTCCTTCTATTATCCATCTGCGGTTCTTGTGGGGAGAGAAAGAGATCTCTCTTATTTCCTCGTCTATGCTTTTCTTCCCTCTTCCCTCTTCCCGTCTTTCACCACTGAAATATCTCAGCAATGCCAGGAGGCTGGTATGCCCCGGGAGGGTAATAATAGTCTACAATGGCAGAGATCACTCCTGTTGTTGTTTGTCTACTTGCAGTTGTCTGGACAGAGGATCCACACAAGAGGTAGGAGCATTTGGATCTGAGAAGCTAGAGCTTTCACAAGACAAACTGTTAAAACCTTAAGAAGATTTGTTCCAGCACCCAAAACTAACAGTCCTGTTCAAATCATCAAAATAATCCTTCATCTATAAGTTGGGTTTCTCATTCCACCCTTGACTCTTACTAAAAATTACGTTGTGGGTTTTTTTTTTGTTTTTTTTGTTTGTTTGTTTGTTTGGGTTTTTTTGGGGGGGTGTTTTTTTTGTTGTTGTTGTTTTTTGTTTTTTTTTTTTTTTGTTGTTGTTTCTCCTTTCTTCCCTGTCTAGGTCTAATCTCCTTTGGAAATGCCAAAATTGTTAGGGCATCAGGAGTTGGAAGCATTGTGAACCTGTTCAAACATGGAGCACTGGGACTCGCTGGGATTTTTGATTGTCACACTCAACTATAATGTGACTATTGTAGGTAAGTACTTCAAAAAAGCTCTCTTCTTTCTTTTGCTGATCCATATCCTGAAGCCACCCAAGTGCCAACATTAATTTCTAGCTATGCCCCTGTGATCCTTATGATAGGTTGTTATTTAGATACACGATATGAGTGATTAATGTATTTCTTTTTAAGCAGATTCCTACACCCTCTCTGATAAATATTTTCTGAACTTTATGTAAAAAAAATTCTATCAAGTTTTTAAAATTTTGCTCTTTTTGGTGTCTAAGCTTCCAATGGCTGTCATAGACACCATGGTGAAAAGACATGGAAGTAACACTTTATTTATACGACATAAAGTGAACAGTAGAATGTAAACTGAACAGTAGGTTTAGTGGTGAATGAAAAGAAGGGAATTCTTCCCCCCCTTAACAGGAAGAAGTTTGTGGTTTATCCCATTGTGGTTAATTACCATTGCTTTTAATTCTTTACTTTTATAAACAAAAAAAGTTCACATGTATTAAAAACAAACAAACAAACAAAATACAGTTGTTTTTTCTTCAACTCACAGTTACCTAAGTGCCTGTTTCTTTTTTTCTTATTCAAATAAGATAGCATTCCTTTTTCATGGGCTACTTTGAGCAAAATGGGAGCCAGATGAAAACTTTCAAGGGCCTTTCAAAACCCTTTGCCTCCAGCTGTGGACAGTTGCTGTAGTTTATGCTGTGCATTGCAGGGAGTACCCAGCTAAGGTGCAGGGGGTGGGCTGAAGGGGCTTGTTTTAGGATGTTTAATCAAGACTAAGTCATTAGGGATGGTGATGCATGGAGAGGTTATCTCTAAAATGTGTGTCATACTAAACTCCTTCCTAAGAAGCCACTGATTTTTCTTAAGCAGCAACTCCCTATTGTACATGTTCTAATTAAAAATTGATAGTGAGAGAGCATGTAGCATTTTGAGCTTAATTAACTAATGTCCTTCAAACACTTTGAGGTCCTCACAGGGAAAAAAATGTTACTTAAGTATGAAACATCGCTTGCTAAAGATGACTGATTCTGTACAGCTGGTGTTTTCTGTTAACCCACAAGACGTTAAAAAGAGAGTAACAGTGCAGCCCATCACCAAAATTCAGGAAGCTGAAAACAGCAAAACCTCCACTAAAGTTTAGGTGATTAAAGATAAAATGGAAAGGCCACAATTTATTTATGGTTAGATGATATATCATTTTGCCAGGAGCAGCAGGTTTCTTTAATGATCTCTGATATAGCTTATTTATCCTTAACTTTTTTCCAGCTGAAATTTTTCCTCTTCAGACTGCAGTTTTATTGTTCTAGCCCATAATCAGTCTACCAGCCACAACTGGTTTATATGGGGCATTCGAACTGCATGTTCAGTACAATGATAGTATTGCAGAAATATTTGAATATTTAAAATTTGCACCAACTACAGGAAAATAGCTTTATGGGAAATACAAAAGAATGTTGTTCAAGACAATACCTGTAAATAATTGTATATTTTATAGAAAGAATGCTTTGGGATCTTGATTTTTAAAAAGCCTTTAGATTATGTATTGTTGCTATTTTACAAACTCCCTTTAAAGATCTTTGTGCATGTGAGTTGTGCAATCACTATTAACGGCTTGAGGTTTTCAGTGCATTTCTCGACCATTAACTTCATATAACATGCTTCTCTTTAGTTCCCAAGTATTCTTGCTGTTTGTCTGTATGTGGTTACAACTTGTTAAGAAACCATTCCTTAAAACAGAATTAATCTTATCACTTTTTTTTTTTTTTTGGGGGGGGGGGTGTTTATTTAGTTGTTTTTTTGTTTGTTTGTTTGGTTTGTTCCTATGTGGGTTTTTTCTTCTCTTTTCTTGGTATATTTTAAAAATATGGTAAATTAAAGCAGGGTATTATTAAATCAAATTAATTTTTCAAAGCCTAGTGACAGGACTCAAAAGGAAACTTGAGAAATTCAAGTGCTAAATTTAATTTCAGATGTTAAATTTTTCCACATATTTGTACAGAATATATTTTTAATTTTTGACAATATAACAGTATTTAGGCCTTCCTATCCTGATCAGGAAAAGGATTTATTTATTTATTTATTTATTTTAAATAAATTACTTAGTAATACAGCAGTGTGTGTAACTTTACAAAATCTTCTAATAAAAACCTATCCCATGCAAAAGTCCTCCAAGAGACTGTCATGAACAATACAGTTGCATTCAAAAGATATGATTTGTAGAGTACTAATGTCTGATTTTTCACTGCTGTTGATATACTGGAATAAGGATAAGGCCTATTCTTTCCAACCTAAAGTGGATGAGACTAGGCCCTACCTAAAGCAATCATATGAAAGAATTCAGGGAAAGATGAAGTAAGCAATGTATGAAAATACCAAACTTCTAAGGCTTCACTAGGCATTGGTATCAAGACAGAAGGGAACTTTTAGTGTGAATAGAAAGAGAAGCTGCACACCAAAGTAATGAAGGTTGGAATACCTGATTAAGATGGGGCAACCAAAGGAGCAACAGAAAGAAATTACCAGGTTACACATGTGAACACACAAATGTGTATTTGTAGAACATTTTGTGTAAGTTTGTTAATGGCACCTGTTAACTAGCTCACAAGTAAATACCAGTCTAGAAACAACAGAGAGATTTTGTTGGCTATAGTAAACTTTACATATGGTTTCATGGCCAAGACCAAGAACAAATACTATGTTATAGAACAATCTTTTGTATCTAGAAGAGTTTAATACTGTGTTAGCTGATCTATATTATTGAAATAAGACAAAATTGAGGTGCCAAGGTGTGAAGCTAACAGCAAGGAAGAACTGTAAGTGAAATGGGATTATTCACTCAATTGTGAACTCTTTGTATCAGATTTGGACATGTTCAGAGTGTTTTCATTAGGCTAAGGTTTCAGTTGGCATGGTTTATTAGACTTCAAACTCCTACACTGTCAAGTCTAGATTAATATTATGGAATGTGTCAGCTGTCACATTTTCATACCAGTTTCAGTCCCAATCAAAATAAAGCCAAAGAGGACCTTTTAGGAGAGGAGACTGATTATGGAGGCTATTTCTTCAAATGTCTTGTGTATAAAGAAAGCATCACTACTTACCTGCCTTCCCTTCCTTCTCAGTGCTCTAACTCTTTTTCTTACCTTTTCTTCTCTTCTAGGAAAGATCTGGCTAATGTTAGTAATTCTGCTGCGAATGGCAGTGGTGGTGTTAGCAGGCTATCCACTCTACCAAGATGAGCAGGAGCGCTTTGTCTGCAACACCTTGCAACCAGGATGCTCCGTTTGCTATGACTTGTTCTCTCCTGTGTCTCACTTTAGATTCTGGCTCATTCAGACTGTGTCTATCCTGCTACCTTATGCTGCATTCAGCATTTACGTTTTGCACAAGGTAGCTATGTACATTGTAAGAATACACTGTTTGGTGCATGCACCCAAAGGGAATAAGGGTTTATCAAGCCCCAAAGACCCGGAGGAGCTCTGTAGAAGCGCTGTTGTCAATAGGTTAGATTGTGGTACAGATAACCTAAGAGTCCTTAATTTTTCAGGGGCATATACTGTTCATCTTTTTTTCAGGACACTACTTGAGGCTGCCTTTGCAGCTGTACAATATTTTCTTTTTGGATTTTTTGTTCCTGAACGCTTTTCCTGCTATCATTCACCTTGTACAAGCACAGTTGACTGTTATATCTCCCGGCCCACTGAGAAATCCATCATGATGATTTTCATCTGGGGGGTCAGCAGTCTATCCTTTCTACTTAGCCTTGCTGATCTTGTCTGTGCTCTCCAGAGAATGACAGCAAGAAACCAAAAAATCAAGCTGGTGGCAAACCTCCATGTAGAGAATGAGTGCATTTTAAGTATTCCCCCTGTACAGCACGGTAGCTCTTCACCTCAAAATCAAGACTGTCCAGTATCAAATATCAGCCAGACCAGTGATGGCTCCTGCTCACTTCTTTCTGAAGAAGAGGAAGAGGCTGTTCTTCATCCTGAAGTGGTCCCTCAGCAAACTGCCAGCACTAATCTTAACAGCAATAAGCCCTGTATATCGGAAGATCTTGCTGTTAAGCAAGACAGCACTGAAGAGCCCTTGTGTGCTGGTGACCACCATCGGACTGCATGCAGGCAAGTGAGACCCAGGCTTCAGCAAGACCTCATTAAAGATACTTCCCTGACTTTGAGACCTCAAATCAAGTCTCACCTTGGAGTTTCTTCCTCTGTAATTCAGAGCAAGATTTTAGGATACTGTCCTTCAGCTGAGCTAAAAATCCCTGATGCACAATCAAATTATAGCAGTACTAGTTGTTTGAGGTCAAAAAAGTCAGAATGGGTATAGAGTCCTGAGTGAACACTAACCGAGGACCCTGGCAGGACAAATCATTGCATCACTGAAGAGATTTCAGGTAGTTTCAGCTGGATCCCTTGGCTGGGGTTATGCTACAGACATACCTCTATGCTGTGTTCCTCCATTGAAGAGGAAGCAAAAACCTTGGATAAGAGTGTGAAGAATAATACATTAAGGGAACTGTTCTTTGAAAAATGAACATTTTAAAGTTTTTCTGAGTGTGTCTTTAAAAACCTGTGGACTGTTGCTGATGTGACTGACCTGTTTTTCCAGGAGCGCATGTGAACCCTTGTTTACCCTAACCTAGTTTTATTGCAAAAGAGTGATCCATGACTCTTAAGAGAAAGCCATGCCTTTTAAACACAGTTGTACCTTGTCTACTGTCAGAAGGTTTATTTATCTCCTCATACTAAATTCTTGAAACTCACTCTAAGAAAGGATATTCAAGCAAAAAGAGCAGCCAGTGATTAAGATAAGAACACATGTTTTGTAGCAAAGTATTAATGTGTAAAAAAATCCTTGGATCTTACTGATTGAGGGCTACACATATCCTAGTTAGCAACACCATGGACGTACCTTTCTCTGACCTTGAGGTCAACTGGCACAGTCTGACCATGTCTGAGTTATTCAACTCCATTAGCCTCCGAAACAGGGTGGCTGCATCCAGACTAACTGTTGGGAATTGCTCGAGAATTGTTTGAGTGGACTAGGAGGTGTGAACTAAGAGGGTGTCAGGGATGGCTCCAGCAGCTTGACAGCTGAGGGGCCTGAGCTCCAGTGCCTATGCCGTGGCACTACTGATTGTGCACTGGTGTAGTTGTACTACTGACAGGTCTACATGGTGTTACACGTCTCAATCTGAAATAGTCACACCAGGCTCATGATTTCAGCAGGGGGAATGATTCACCTGACTTGTTTTAGGCATCTCTGAAGGTAAGATGAGTCACTTTCTAGATATACCTATTTCTCCCACAATGTGATTATCTCAGATCTGCACTTGGGGAAAATGGCTCCTACCCCAAGAAAAGGATATAGTGGCAATGTCTATATCAAAGTGCTCACCCTCTTTGTCTGACAGACTTCTAATGCTAATCATTTGAAAATGTGTCTAAACTGAGTGAATCACAGAAGATTTTATTACTGTCATGCTTTGTGCTTTCTTTCAGTGTTAATTCAGTTGCATTTACATAAGCGTGGTCCAGCACTGAAGCACAGCAGTGCGTGAGCTGAATTATCTTTTAGCTACAAGTCATTGGGGGTTGAAGGTTGCATATACCTGCAGATCCTCAGTAGGAGTGGATGTGGAGGAGCACATACTCAGAGAAATGTCCTGGTGGTAGTGTCTTATGAAACAGATTGTTCAGAGGATGCAAGAGCTGGTATTTGTAGACGCTGCTTGAGTAGTTGGAGTACTTCCTCTCCATTTAGACCCATGCAAAAGAGAAAACAGGCACAGATCCAGTCTTGCTCTTACATTTCTATATAACATGTTTCTACAATGACTTAATGGCTGGCTCATCTGTGCAGAACATCCAGGCACAACAGCTTTCACACTGTTCTTTTTGTCTCCTGTACTTGCAGAAGTCTTTAAGACAGTTCGGCTCATAATTTCTGAGTATCATTTATCACATATGCAAGGTTAAGTCTAGCACTTAATTATCCTTCATCTTCTGCATCCCCTCAAATATTAGGTAACTTAGGAGATGGGCAGAATGGACCTTTGGGTTGGGAGGCAGAATTTACTTCTGCCTGCGAAGTACTTTGGGATCCTGAGGTATGCAACAGAGGTTTTTATTCACTACCTTCCAAGAAAAGTTTTCCTCTCTATTAGCTGTGTTTGTATCTTTTATCATGCATGCTTGTTGTATGATTTGTCATTTCCAGGGTAGGAGCAGCATTAATTATTAAACTTATCATAGGCAGAAAAACATTAAATATTTAAACTTCTCATCCTCCAAAGCCTCTTTACCAGGGTCTGTGCTGATTACACATACCATGACAAAACATTGCAAAGCTGAAACCTTTTATGATTCATTGCATCTTCTCAGCTGCGAGAAGGAATGCAAGGAACAAATGTGGATTCAGTCCATCGTGTACATCTCTCAGTGTGAGATATAAATAGGGTAGGATAAATAATAAATGCATTGTGGCTGGACATGGTTTGCTTTTTTGTGTCTCTAGCTAGACATCTTTTAATGACTAAGGAGTCTCTTCAAATCAGAAAGATCCTGTTTGTGCCTGAAATGGAAAATTAAATTAGTGAACTTCTTCCTTATTCTGTTTGCAGTTTCTTGTGAAATTGTGGCCTTTGGTTTGTGTCACTCACCTGCAGACCCAGCTCCTTTTGGGATTTGTGGACCCACTGGCTCCTAATTCAGGGTCACATGTTTATAAAAACTGCATACTGAAAGAGCAGGATTTGTTAGGCTTTTCACTGGGGAGTGAATAGAAGCTTCTGGCATCAACAACCTGCTTCTAAGCGAGTGTCTCTGAGTGCCTCCTAACAATTATTTCCAAGTCACATTTATTAATTACAAAGACATGGTTTTACAAACTGGGTGGATCTACTATCAAAGTAAGATGTGCAAAAGTGTTTGAACTATTCTGAGCATCCACAGATCATTGGTAGGGGCATCTGCAATGGGGATGAGGAAATGGGAAAGAAGATCTGTTTAAAAGAACAAAGAGGATCACCTCTAATTTTTCCTTATATTCCATATCACTGAATGTTAAGGTACTGTGAAGGTGTCTAGATGTCCTAAAAAGAGTGAGTAAATGAAGTAACGGATGTGGAGCAAGGAAGTAACAAAATTTTCTGCTGTTTAAGCATTTAGTCTTTTAAATTTGTGAATTGATTTTGTAAATTCTTCCAGAACATATTTCATACTCAGAAAAATATTACAAAGGCTGTTTGTTAACTTCTCCAGTGTGTCTTTAATTCTCTTCTTAACCCACCTATTTCAGAATAGCATTTCTGAAAATGTGTTGAAAACACAATACACCTAATCCTGCCCTCAGGAAAATTTTTCTTGTGTTCAGACAAGGCTGCCACATCAGCACAGGTACCACTTACACCCTGAGGTGCGTTTATGGAACAATACATAAGCTACATATATTACTCACCCAGTCTTGTGCAGTACTGAACATGAGACTATACAGAAAGGAATCAAGCTCCCTGGAAATAAGAGTTGAAACTGATCAGGAAATCTATGATAAAATAATTTTCACACAGGAAATAATTTTTTTTAATTGGAAAAAATGCCTAAAAGAATGTTGTTTTCTTAGTGTCTTCAACTGCATCATAGCACTTCTCTTGCTAAATAAGTGTTTACGAGGTTGCTGGAGACCTGGAATGTCCATGCAGCAAAATCATGTATCACTGGGAGTTTCTGCAGTGTCAGAATAATTTAAAGGAGGGGGAAAAAAAAAACAAAACAAAACAAAACAAAAACTTTTTTTTTACACCTAAGTAAGATAGATTTTAAAAAACTTATTTCTAAACAAAATTTTAAAATTTATTTTGTTTTGTTTTTTCTTTGAATGTTTTTTAATACTGAAATAGAAGCCAAACACCAAGTTTTAATCAGTTTTAATCACTTTCTCCTCTTTCCTCACAGTCTAGGTTGGGTCACTTTGATTTACTCTCATCAGCATAATGAAAAGCTGCGACTCTCTCTTCTTTTGTGAGATACACTGTAGACAGGTGCCTAGGGAATGCATAATTTCCCACTGGCAGCAGTTGTTCTCCATGAATCTCTCAGTTCAGACCAGAATAAGTATTAAATCTGCAGTTAACAACGTAGAGAGATCCTTAGCATATTCTTTCAAGTTATTAAAATTATCTGCCCTTATGTGATACATCATTATTGCAGTGATTATCTTTCTAGAAGGGAACATTAAAGGGGATATTAATTGCACATTATTTTATTTTAATGTCATGATTACAATGAAGAACAGATAAATTATTACTGCTTGTAGTACTTTAGGATAATAAAGAAATGCATCTCCAAAAATAGGAAAGTAGAGTAGTTGAAAAGGCTGTTCTTTAACTTCTGTCTTTTGTGCTACTTTTAATAGCCTGATGTTCAACTGATAGAGAAGTAATTTTACAATGTAATACTCTTGCACTGTAATTGAGTTTCTAACGTGTTCTGCAAATTAGGTGGTCTCTGTTCAAAGTCATAGCATGAAGTCTTGGTCTGTGATGCACGGCAATACCAGTTCTGAAAAATGAGTTCAGCAAGGCAGAAATCCAATTGGAAACTATGAACTGTATCTCTACAATTAAAGTTATCCAGCATCCATGTAGCTAGATTACAATCACAGTCTAATTCACTAGCTTTCGCCTTCTCCCACTTCCCCTTCTATTTTCTTCCATTTGGGTTTGAAAGGTAAGATGTCCCAGGCCATCTCCACAACTATAATGTAATTATGGGAGTACAGACACAGTGCTAACCCCAACGACTGTCTTATGATTCTGTGCCATTCGCAACGTGGAAATGCCAGGAGATAGTCAGGTTCTGCAGGTAATACTTTAGGTCGAGTAGTGGATTAGTTTTGAAAAGCTTTCACTGATGAACAATTTACTAAGTGCAGAAGACAGCAGATTCTGAGCTTTTCTTTGGAAACTGAAGTTTATATATGGTACCCTCAAGAAAGATGGAGGATTTGGGATCAACAATCAGAAGTAAGTCCTTTCATTTCTGGCTTTCCTATGTATGTAACATTTATTCTGTCTGTGAGACTTTAGGCACTACACACCAGAGTGTGGGGATTTTCTTTCACTGAATATGTTATTCTTGGCAAAGAAATAACAATAATGGAAGGAAACAGAAGATTTTGATTTAGCAGAATGAATTTTTGTATTTTCCTCCATGATTTTCTGCCTTTTCCTCATACTGAAGATAGGCAGTGCTTTTTTTTTTTTTTTTTTTTTTTTTGAGAAACCAGAATAAGATGCTTTTAGAGCCCCACTAGGCTTGTTAAGCAAT